TTTATTCAATGAAAGGCCTTGGCAAAGTGACCTAAAATAAACCACAAAGAGAATCAACACAGGAAGCCATATTATACAGATGTGTGAGCTTAGAATCAGAAAGGCGGGACGTGATCATCTTGGCTAAATCAGAGTTCCCCAGAGGCAAAACAAGAACCAGTGCTCATGAAAGTGAGTACAAAAAGTGACAATGGGAATTCTAAGCACCAAAGCAAAGTGAAGTTTCATATTCTTAATTTTCATCCTCTTTGTAAGTCTGATAACAATTTCGTTAGAAAAGGCAAGTTAATCAGAAGGCAGAGACCTGAAACTTTATGCTTATTGACATATTCCTAACATCTGGCATGATTCCTAGATTCAGAAGGACTTATAAAATATTTCTGAATGAATGGATACATTTTGTAATAGGTGAATAAATGAATGTGTGAGTAAATACAGGTAATAGAGTTGTGAAAAGTCCTCTTTAAGCGAGTATCAATAAGTTATACCATCAAATTAAGCCTAGAAGTCACATTTTTGTTATGTTAATGTTTTGTTTATGACTTGCTTTTTATTCAAACAGTTAAAATTTGCTCACGACATGAAACAAATGACGGCATTATTCTTTTATCTAAATTCAAAAAATTGCCCAAGGAAGTGATTAATGAATTTTGACTCATGCATCTGTCTGCCTCTTCTTTTCCATTTTACTTTAGTTCTGTAAATTCTCACTTGCCAATATTCTAGCTTCATCTATTTATTTTTCCCTTTCTTTCATATTATTCCTCCTTTCCCAGTTTTTCCACTGTTCCCATGCACATTTTATCTCTCTCCATCTCATTTAGAACATTATCAAAAGTTCTCCTAAGCCAAGAGGATACACCGCTTCACTCATTGTGTTTCCAAATAACCATGGCATTTAAACTATTTATCATTGTGCCTGCTTGGTTTGACAACTCTTTCTGTCATTCTTGTTTTCTCTCCCTTGTCATTTCTACTCATACCAAAGGGCCTGGCTAAACTTTGTTTTCTCTAATCCACTTTCCCCAAATCCAGCAGAGTGAAATGATCATTCCCTTCATTTGAATCCCATATGAAGGCCTCTATTTTAGCAGCCATCATCTGTAATGAATATGTATTTCTGTTTCTCTTTCAGCTTGTATGTTTATGAGAGTAATGGTCATAATAAGTTCTTTATTTTTTTCAGAGAGACTTTTGCTATAGGGCATGTATGCTCACAAGAGAGACAGAGAAAGTGAGAAATCACCCCTACACCCTAGTGGGGAAGGATGGCCACACCACAATCCCTTCTCCTACATGCTCCTCCTGAGATGTTGGCCATGCACATGCATGCGCACATGTGAATTTCAAGATGCCAGGCCCAGGAAAGGAGATTGGTCATGAGGGAGTCCAGCACCTTAATTAAGCACTATGCCACCTGCTGGCTCCCATCATATATATTTATTACCATCCTTAGGTCCTGGCACACAGTAAGTATTCAATATTTGAACAGAAAATGAAAACATTAAGAGAGAGAGTGAAAAGGCAACCTGCCAGGTCCAGGACTCAAATTGCAGATAACCATGTGGGAGTCCAGTTCCTTTAACTACCATGCCACCTGCTGGCCCCATAACATTTATTTTTAAAGCAGGAACAAACAGACTGGGCAAGTGGCATAATTGCTAGGGCGCTAGATGCCCACATGGTCGACCATGGTTCAAGTCCCAGACCTGGTGGCTTGCAATCTCACTCTCTCTCTCTCTCTCTGGTCAAATTCAAGAATAATAATAATAATTAATAAATAATTAAATAATTCTTTTTTAAAAGGCAGGGAAAAGCAAGTGTTAGTAAAAATGTGAAGAAATCATAAATCCTGTACATTGCTGGTGGGAAGATAAAACAGTGCAGCTGATGTAAAAAACAATTCGGTGTTTCCTCAATAAGTTAAAGCTAGAGTTACCATGTGACCCAGCATTTCCACTTATAGACACATATCCAAGACAATTGAAAATATATGTATACACAAAAACATGTACACAAATGTTCATAACAACATTATTCATAATAGCCAAAAAGTAGAAACAGCCCAAATGTCCACCCACTGATAAGCTGATAGACAAAGTTGGGCATATCCATATAATGAGATATTATTTAGTCATAAAAAGGGATTAAAGAAAGAAGTGGTATATGCTACAACATGGATGAACCTCAAAAATATTTTGCTGAGTGAGGGAAGCCATACACAAAAGACCACATATTGTGTGACGCCACCTATAGGAAATATTCAACAAGGCAAATCTATACAGACAGAAAGTAGGATTAATAGCTGCAAGGAAATGGGGGCAGGTGAGAGCTGGGTGTGAATGCTAACAGGTATGAGATTTCTCTTGGTGTGATGGAAATACTTTGGAATTAATGGTAATGGTCACACAACTTTGTGAATGTACTAAAAACCATTAAATTGTACACATTAAATGAGAGGATTTTATGGCAGATGAATTATAGTTCATTAAAACAGCCTTTGAAATAGTAACATGGGAAGTTATGTCTAAATGTGATCATTCAGTCACACTTCTCTCCTCTCCCTATTGAAAATTCCACAAATCTGGTATCAAAGAAAAATTTTTAAATATCAGTCAATTGCCCCTCAGAGAGCGATCAGGAAATCACTGAGACAGCGTGAGTTTTCACCAAAAGGCACAGGAAAGATGATCTAATCTGAACAAATTTAGAAGGACAGGATCAAAATGAAGTCGCTTTTGTAATTACAATTGCACATACATACCTACATGGATAAATAAAACAGATTTATTTTTAAAAAATTGGTTCATGTGATTATGGAGAGTGCTAAGTCTAAGATTTGCAGCCAGCAAGTTGGAGATCCAGGAGAGCCAATGGTTTGTTACAGTCCAAGTCCAAGTCGGAACACAGGAAAAGAATGTTGTCTTAGCTTAATGATAGACAGAGAAGGAATTTTTTCTTATTCACTTTTATTCTTAGAGAAGGAAATATACTTTACTCACTCTATGACTCAACTGTTAATTTCATCCATATACACCCTCACAGACATACTACAAATAATATTTAATCAAATATTTCGGGAGCCCATAGTCCAATTAAATTGACCATCACACTGAGCCTTTTATAGCAGAAAAGCTTTTAATTTTGATGAAGTCCAACTTATTAATGTTTTCTGTTATATATTGTTCTTTTGGTGTCATGTTTAAAATTCTTCACCTAGTACTACTTTTCTTTCTTTCTTTTTTTTTTTTTTTTTGAGAGGTTTTTGTTATAGGGCACATGCGCTTGCCAGACAGACAGAGAGATAGAGAGAAAGAAAGTGAGGAATCACCCCCCGGGGGGATGGTCACGCCGCAATCCCTTCTCCTCCATTCTCCTCTCAGGATCATGGGCATGCATGCACAGGTGCCTGGCGTGAGTTTAAGCCATCGGGTCCAGGACTTGAACCGTGGTCGGCTACATGGGAGTCCAGCGACATAGCCATTACGCTAACTGCTGGTCCTACCTAGTACTACTTTTCAAAGATACTTTTGGCGGGGGAGGCTCTTTGAAAACTTCATGGAAAATGTATATTATGAAAAAAAACTGGTTTTGCATAAAAATAAACTCATAATTTATTTGAAATTTCCATGAATTTTTTTAAGGATCTACATATTTTTGTATGTTTTCTATAAAAGATTTCATAACTTTTAAAAAAGAATTATTTATTTAATTCCATTTGTTGTTATTATTTTTTAAAGAATTATTTTATTTAATTTTATTCATTGTCATTGTTTTATTTTATTGAAGTTAACCAGAGAGAAGGAGAAGGAAAGTGAGAAAGCATGCCACCAGGTCCAGGACTCGAACCACAGTTAGCCATGTGGGAATCCAGCACATTTTAACCACTACACCGCCTGCCGGCCCAGAAGTTTTTATAGCTTTATGTTACATCTAGGACAAACTTAATTTTTGTACAAAGCATGAGATTTAGGAGAGGTTAATTGTCTTCCTCTATGGTTGTTTAATTTTTCAGCATCATTGACAAGATTCTGATGAGCTGGAGGGATGGAGAAAGAGGACCACAGCATATCCAGACCCTGTTGAGGGTCTTTCTTTCTCTCTCTTTCTCTCATACATACATTCTTCATCATGAATTAAAAAAAAAAAAAAAAAAAAAAGATCAGTTGGATAAAGCAATTACTTCTTAGGCATGGCACCAAAGTACAAGCAAAAATGAAAAATAGATCAATTAAACTGGAACAAATTTAACAATTTTTGTGCTGCCAAGAACACCATGAATAAAGTGTAAAGGCAGTTGGCAGAATAGAATAAAACATTTGAAAATCATATATCTGGCAAGAGATTTGTTTCTTGAATATACAGAGTATTTAAAATTCAGTAATAATGACTATCAGAAAAACTAGCAAAGGGCCAGTCTCGTAGCCTACTGGTTAAGTGAGCTAAATTCCACATGGACGACCACAATTTGGGTCCAGGCCTCTGCAGCTTGGAAAACACACCACGTGCATGTGCATGTGTGCCCTAAACCCTAATGGATGGAGATGTAGAGGAGAAGGAATTGCAGTGTAGCCATATCCCATTGAGGGGTGCTTTCTTGCTCTCTCTGTTTCTCTCTCTGGTGAGCACACATGCTCTCTGGCAATTAAAAAAATAAGAAAAGAAAAATGATCAAAAAAATTTTAGACACTTCTCCAAAGAAGATTCACAAATGTCTAATAGGTACATACAACTCTATTAGTCACTAAGGAAATGAAAGTCAAAACCCCAATGAGATAACATTTTATACATATTCTATGGTATAACTACTTTGTTTGTTATTTTTTTTAATTGCTAGAGGGCATGTGCACTAGCGAGAGAGAGAGAGAAAGAGAGAAAGAGAGAGAAAGCACTACCCAATGGGGTACAGTCATGTTACAATCCTTTTTTCTCCATTTCTCCATCCTGTCAGGATTTGGGGCATACACAGAAAGGCTTGTTTCTCAAGCCACTGGGGCTGGGATTTGAACCATGGTCAGTCATGTGGAATCTGGCTCCTGATGCACAGCACTTAACTGCTGTGTTATAAGGCTGGTCCATGATGCAGTTACTTTGGAAAGTAGTTTGCGGTTCCTGAAAAAAATAAATGTGGAGTTACCATATGACTAACAATTCTACTCCCAAGATAATCAAAACATATGTTGACACAAAAACTTGTATATAAATATTCATAACAACATTATTTATAATAGCCAAAAGGGGAAACAACTCAAATGTCCATCAACTGATGAATGGATACACAAAATGGAATACTATGGAATGTTTTTCAACCATAAAAAGGAACAAAGTATTGATACCTGGTATGACATGGGGGAACCTTGAAAACACTATGATAAATGAAAGAAGGCAGAAACAAAAAGCCACATATTGTAGGATTTCATTTATATGAAATGTCCAGAATAAGTAAATCCATAGACAGAGAACACAGATGAGTCATTTAAGGGAGCAGGAGAGGAGAATGGAAGTTAGTGAGTGACTGCTAATCAGTGCAATGTTTATCTTAAGGGTGATGAAAATATTCTGAAGGCACATCACAGCTAGACCAAAACCATGGGGAGAGATACTGAAATTGGTAGGAGAGAAACGTCAAGTTATTTTCAAAGGATATCCCATCAGGCTAACATCAGACCTCTCATGTGAAACAACACGAGCAAAGAAAGAATGGGAAAATATATTCAAAGTGTTAAGTGAAAAACAATTTCAACCAAGAATACTATACCTAGCAAGATTATCCTTCATATGGGAAGAAAAGATATAAACATTCTCAGATAAACAAAACCTAAAAGAATTTACAAATGCCAGACCAGCTCTCCAAAAAGTCCTGAAGGGAGTGCTATACCAGGAAAACTAAAGTCAGACATACAGAAATAAGAGTACAAGAAAATGGCCAACTTAATGATAAGGACAAGTCTGAAAAAAATCAATAATAATGTTTTTGACATAGGGAGGGCGCCACCACGCCCCTCAATAATAATGTTGAATGTTAACTTCCAGAATTTAAATGGAAAGATCAGACCAGAGAAACACTGCAAATTACACAGAAGAAAGATTAATTCCATGAGACTGAACTGGTGAAACAGAATTTTATGACTTTTGACTAAAACATTACTGATTTTCTTCTATACTTTGTTTTCCAGATTTAAGGATTTTTGTCTTCTCATGAGCTTTTGATAGGTTCATCTACCTATTGTTTTTTTTGGGGGGGGGGAGGTTTTCGCTATAGCGCGCGTGCGCACACCACACAGACAGAGAGAGACATAGAGACAGAAAGCGAGAAATCACCCCCCAGAGGAGATGGTCACGCTGCAATCCCTTCTCCTCCATTCTCCTCTCAGGATCTTGGGCACGCACGCACACGCGCCCGGCGTGAATTTGAAGCCACCGGGTCCAGGACACGAACCACGGTCGACTACATGGGAGTCCAGCGACATAGCCATTACGCTAACTGCTGGTTCCCATCTACCTACTGTTTGAACTGAATCTTAACCTTTTTCCTGGCTTTAAGTCTTAAGCAAATTTCTCTTAACATTTTTTTATTTTGATCTATTAAAACCCAAACTGCTTTTCTTGAAATTAAAAAAATGCATTAAAAATAGCTATTTAATGACTGCAGTAAGCTATATAGCCCCAGCTAGGTGATACTTTACAGTATGTTCATTCTACTCACTGAGTTCTATGGCTAAAGTCACACATGTGTTCACAAATATGTATATATCAGCTTCACTTGCTATTGAAAGTATTTATATTAATTAAGATCTTTTGTGAATCAATAAAATGTGAAACAAACAAACAAAAGGCATGGAAAACAACTGTAGGTACCAGAGACACTGGTGGAGGAGGGTGTGAAATGGCAGAGAGTGAGAGGTAGAAAATCAAAGCGGGGGACAAAGAAGCAAAATATTTAAGAAACAAGAAATGGAAAATTATTTGTTGACAATAACACATATGGTAATACCCTTGACTGAGCCGATGCACAGTGTATTCTGGGTGGAAAATCTCATTTTGTATACCATAATGATGTATAGTGAATGAATGTAAATAAATTCAAAATTTTAAAAATTCTGTATTTTGATAGTGGTGATTGCTGTACAATTTTGTGACTGTACTAAAAACACTGAATCATGCAGTTAAAAAAGTTAACAAACTTCAAATCAATTGAAGGAATCCTTTCTGGATTCTGGATTCTGTCCCATAGATCCTAGTGTTTATTCCTCAGCCCATACCATGTCGTCTTGCTTTCTATACCTCTGTAGTAAGTTTTAAAATCAGAAAATGGGGGACCAGCAGATGGCAGAATAGTTACATGGCTGAACTCCCACGTAGTCACCCGCAGTTTGAGTCCTGAACCTGACAGCTTGAAACACACTGTGTGTGTTTGTGTGTGTGTGCCCAAAATCTCCAGAGGAGAGTAGAGAAGGGATTTTGGTGTGGCCATTCCCTCTTGCGTGTGATCTCTTGCTTGCTTTCTGTCTCTCTCTACCTTTCCGGCCAGCACATGCTCCCTATAGCAAATATCTCTCATAAATGAACGAATGAATGAAAACAGAAAATGTGATTTCTCCTACTTTCTCCTTTCTTTTCAGGTATTTTAGTAGTTTTATTTTTGTCTTTTCACACAATTTTTAGACAAAAATTGTTTATATCTACAAAAGAATGTATTGATGAACTGGTCTGGCTGAGTCTGGGGATGGAAAGAATTGCATTATACCTATGGATCAATTAGAGAAGAAGCGATGTTTTTACACTATTCAGTCATCCGAATTTTTGAACATGTTATATCTCCATTTATGTAGGTTTTCTTTAATTTCCTTGATTTTTGTTTTGAAATTCCACCAGACACATCTTGCATTTGTTTGTTAGATTTATATCTAGGTATTCTAATTATTTGAAATGATCCTGAGTGGTACTGTAGTTTTAATTTTGGTTATCTTATGTTTTCGTTATATATAGGTATATGACTGACTTAAATGTCTTGATCTTGTATGCTGTGACCTTGGTGAATTCACTTATTAACCCTACACACTTTTTCCTAGATTTCCTGGAATGTTCTCTATAAACAATCATGGAACCTGAAAAGAAAGATAATTTGATTTCTTCTTTTCTAGCATGGATGTATTTTATTTTACTTCCTTTTCTTGCCTTATAGAGAAAAAAAAAGTATGATGATAGCTATAGTACTTTTTAAAAGAATTATTTTTATTTGGAACCAGCAGCTGGCATAATGGCTATGTCACTGGACTTCCATGTAGTCGACTGTGGTTCAAGTCCCGGACCCGGTGGCTTAAACTCACACCGGGAGTGTGTGCATGTGTGCCCAAGATCCTGAGAAGAGAATGGAGGAGAAGAGATTGTGGCGTGACCATCACCCCGGGCACTGATTTCTCGCTTTCTGTCTCTCTGTCTCTCTCTTTCTGGCGAGCACACACGCCCTATAGCAAAAACCTCTCAAAAGAAAAAAAAAGAATTATTTAACTTTATTTACTTATTTATTTATTTAAATTTGACCAGAGAGGAACAGAGCAAGAGAGAGAAGGAAAGTGAGAAAGCAAGCCACCAGGTCTGGGACTCAAACCACGGTGGGCCATGTGGGAGTCTACCACCCTAAATCACCATGCCACCTGCCAGCCCCCTACCTGCAGTATTATTATAGAAAGCTCCCCAAAATATCTAATTTTCTGAGAGTTTTTTAACCACAAAAGGTTGTTAAATTTTGTCAAGTGAGTTTCATTTATGAAGTGATATGATCAAGCAATTTTTTCTCTTTTAGCTAATTAATATGAGGGATTACTTTGATTTTCTAATATTGAACCAGCCTTGCATTCCTATGAAATTATGATGCCTAATTATATTTTATATATTGTTTGATTAGATTTGCTTGAATTTAGTTGCAAAATTTGGGGCCCATGATCATGAGACATATTGGTCTGTGATTTTTTCCCCCTTTTGTTCTCTTTGTCCAGTTCTATTACTAGGGCAATATTGGCTACATACAGTGAATTGGAAAGTATATTATCTTTTTCTATTTTCTGAAAGAGGTTGTGGAGAATGGGTGGTAATGTTTCTCAGACGTTGGTAGAATTCTTCGGTAAAATGATTGAGTTCTTCTTCAAAAAGAAAAAGGGAAAGAAGTGATTAGCTTCTAAAGATTTCTTTTGGATAGCTTTTAAATGATGGGCTCAATCTCTAATAATTATAGGACTATTCATATTACCTATTTTGATTTTTTTGAGTTTTGGTAATTTGTGTTTTTAAATAAATTAGTCCATTTCAGCTAAATTTCTAAATCCTAAGTAAGTAGAGTGTTTTGTAACATTGTCTTACTATTCTTTAATGGCTGAAGGACCTGTAGTGGTATCCCATTTCATTCCTAATATTAGTAAGTTGTGAATTCTCTTTTTAAACTCCTTTTTAGTCTTATTAGAGGTTTGTCCATTTTATTGATATTTTCAAAGAACTAGCTTTCATTTTTATTGATTTTCTCTTTTGTTTTCCTCTTTTTAGTTTGATTTATTTTTGTCATTTCTTATTTCCTTTCTTCTGCTTGACTTAGGTTCATTTTGCTCTACTTCCTTTAGTTTTTTGAGGTGGTCACTTAGATCATTGATGTGAGGCTGCTATATTAAGTATTTAGTGCTATAAATTTTCCACTCAAAAACAAGTCTGTATAGATCTGTTTTTCTTTTTTGATGCTCACTTTGTGAGATTGTGATTCCTATTTTAATGGCGCCCTCTTCTGTTAGCATAACAAAATTCAGATACTTAGTAAATTTAGTGTTTCTTTTGGTGATAGGGGAGGGGGCTGTGAGTTCCCTGATTTTGTGGTTCTCTTTTGTTTTGTTGAACATAAGTTTTGCAGTTTTGCATTTTTCCACTTCACCACTTAATGGCTTAAAAATTCTTCTTCATAGCTTTTTACTTTTTCCTTCCCCAGAAGTTATATGTTTCAAAGATTGCCCTCTCAACAAGCTTTTAAGCCTCTTTTCCTATAGTCAATGCTCTGATCTACCTAGAAACTTTTTTTTAAGGTTTTGTCATAAGGCGTATGTCCTTGCTGGAGAGAGACAGAAAGGGAAAGTGAGAAACCACCTCCTGGGGGAAATGGCTACAGTACAATCCCTCCTCCTCCATTTTCCTCTCAGGATTTTGGTCATGCACACATGTGCACCTGGAGTGATTTTCAGGCCTTCGGGTTTGGAACTCAAACCATGGTTATCCAACACCTTAACCACCATGTAACCTGCTGGCCCCCACCTAGCCACATTTTTAAAAAACATTTAGGGTGAACTTAGTCTTTATGGTGGAAATCTCACATATATTTTGACCTTTAGCTATCCTCTCGCCTCTGTTTTCCCTTCAGGTATTCTCATTCTACCTTGCTTGTCACAAAGCCTGATAGCAGGGCAGGTGGAAGTAGAAGGGGACGTGAAAGAGACATAATAGAATTTAAAGTTATTCCCTTACTTAGAGTTATTTTGATGTCTGGACATTCTTTCTCTTCAAGTTATGGTGAGGATATGGTTTTGCCTATTTTCATCTTTTTCTTTTTTTTGTATTGCTTTTGGAGGGAGTATTGGGAGATTGGAACCTAAGTGACTAGCATTTTTGTCAGCTACATGGAGGTTTATCATCATACAGATTTCTAACAACAAATAGATGCCATTTTGATGATTACAAGTGTTTCTTGGTATGAATATGGTTTAATTTTTAGGAAAAATTTGATAGTATATTAGGATGTTGGAAACAATGTATCATTTTCCTGGGTCTAAACTAGTATTTTTCTCTTTAATGTTTTCAACCTCAATGTGTTATTTGGAAGACAAATCTCTCCTCTTTCCCCAACCACTACAACTAAATGTGAGCCAACAAGGTTGTGATAAGTAAATTATTTTTGCTGTTGTCTCCAGAATAAAATGAGATAATGCAAATATCAAAGACTGTGTCCTAACTAAAGCATTTCAAGTGTAACTCCATGAGTCTTGTTATTCCAAATGAGAGTATTTGGCTAGATTCAAAAAGACAAAATACGCAAAAATTTATTCAGAGGTTTGTCTATTTAGATCCCAAATCCTCATTGTCTATGGTCATCTTTGGGGAGACATTACTTGCTAGAAGCATGACAAGAGAAAAGTAGATTTTCTTTGTGATATCTGTCTTTTGGTGCAGACATTTTAAGACATTATGCTTTCAAAGTAAATGTTCACAGTGCCAGCAGGTGGCACACTAGTTAAGGCTTTGGACTCTGACATGCCCAATCACATTTCAAGTTCTGGCCCCACAGCTTGAAACTCACGCCCAGCACATATGCATTGCATGCCCAAAATCCCAAAAGAAGGGATTGCAGCATGGCCATCTCCCCTGGGGGTGATTTATCACTTACTCTTTCACTATCTCCCTCTCTGTCTCTCTCTGACAAGCATACATGGCCCTTGGCAAAAACCTTAAAAAAAGAAAAAGAAAAATGTAAATGTTCACTAAACAATTTTTTAATTGAGGTGTAGTGGCATGTTCTCATACATCTTTTTCAGAAAATGACACTGGAGTCAATATAGGAAAGTGGTTAAGGGGCATGATTCCCAGAGCCAGGATGTCTGATTGAAAATCTAAGTTCTGCTATTGTCAAATGTGTGACTAAGTTTACTAAATACCCCTGTACCTCTGTTTTCTCATCTAGAAAATAAAGGTAATAGCAGTATCCACCTCACAGGGTAGTTATAAATTAATACATGTAGAATGTAATTAATACATGCAGAATGTAAACACTCAGTGTTAACAGTATTTATTGTATAACCTAATTTCTGCAGTATCTTTAATGGCCATAGTAGTATCTATTGCTGCATAAATTTCCATGATTTCACAGTCTAAAACAACACCCATTTACTATCTCACCATTTCCACAGGTAAAGATTCTGGGCAGTGCTAAACTGGGTCCTTTGCTTCAATGTCGTACACAAGGATAAAAACCAAAATCTCCACCAGGGCTTGATTCTCTTCTGAAGGTTGCCTGAGAAAAGAAGTATTAGCTTCCATTCAAGCTCATGTTGTTCTTAGCAAGTTCCAGTTCCTTGTGATCTATGGAATTGATGGCCTAAATATAGACCAGAAACCACCCTAATTAGGATCCTTGCCAAGGTGGCCTTGTCAACATGGAAACTTGCTTCATGAAAACCTATAAGGTAAAATCTATCAGAAAGACAAAAGTGGCCAGCAGGTGGCGTGGTGGTTAAGGTGCTGGACTCCTAGATGGTCTACCTTAGTTCAAGTCTTGTACCTGGTGGCTTGCTTTTTCATTTTCTCTCTCTCTCTCTCCCCTCGTGAGCACACATGCCCTATAGCAAACTTAATAATAATAAATAAAAATTTAAAAAAAGACAGACAAAGTTATCATCTGTAGTAACCTAATTACAGAAGTTTGTGCCAAAATCTATTGGTTAGAAGTAATTCACGAAGGGCCAGCAAATAGCGTGGATGTTAAGGCAGCTAGATCCCAGATGGCTGACTGGTGGTCCAAGTTCTGTACCTGATGACTTAAAAATCACCGAGCTCATGTGCTCATATGCCCAAAGTCCCAAGAGGAGAATAAAGGAGAAGGAATTGCAGTATGTCCATCCCCTCATCAGGGAGTTCTCTTTTTCTCTTTCTCTCCCTTTTTCTCTCTCTCTCTCTCTCTCTCTCTCTGCCTCTCTCTAGTGAGCTCATGTGTCCTATAGCAAAAACATTAAACAGTCACTAAACCAGTCAACACTCAAGGAGAGTACTACCTGGATGCAGGGATCACTGGAGGCCATCTTAAAGTCTGTCCACCACAGTGTCTTAAAAACAATATGCAATATAGCAGAGATGTTTGACAACACTGACTTTGTTACTTACCCAGGTTTCACTGTTGAGTGACTTCAAGTAAGTTTCTTAATCTTTCTGAGCCTAGATTTGTTTTTTCTAGAGGCCATGTGTGCTCACTGGAGAGAGACAAAAAGAGGAAAAATGAGAAAGCACCCTCCTCCATGGGAGACAGTCATTTCATAATCCCTTCTCTTTTATTCTCTTTTTGGGATTTTGAGCATGCACACACACACATGTCCAGCATGTTTCTCAAACTCTCAAGCTGCAGGGTGTGGGACTTGAACCACACAGTTGGCTGTGGAGGATTCAGCTGCCTTAACCATCAAGCCACCAGCTATCCCTCTGAGTACTTTTTTGTAATATTTCCTTTCTTCCCCCATCCCTGTCCTACCTGTGTCTCCAGGAAACAAATGATCTTTCTTGTTTATCACTGTGAATTAGTTAACAATTTCTAGAATTTTATATAAATGAAATCATGCAGTAAATACTCTGTTCTGTCTTATTTCTCTCAGTATAATTATTTTGAGATTCATCCATGTCATTGTGCATATTCATAGTTTGTTCTGTTTTTATTGTTGAGTATAATGTATTCCATTGTGTGAATATACAAGTTTATCCTTTCATCTGCTGAGGAACATTAGGTTGTTTCCAGTTTTGAACAATTTGTGTACTATTCCTTATATAAAAATATGCTTTCATTTCTTATGGGTAAATATCTAATAGTGGAAAGTGGAATAGTGTTATTGCTAGATCATATGGTAGGTGTATGTTTATTTATTTATTTATTTATTTATTTATTTATTTAGTGGGACCAGCAGATGGTGAAATGGTTAC